TCATAAATCATTACATGCGATTTTTTCTTATAAAACTTTTATATCCATTTAGATTATTTATGACTGATTTTAAAGTAGCAACTCTAAAAATAATATTTCACACTTGCTTGAGGCAATACGTTCACATACTTGTTCAGAGGAGGTTGATTTCTTGAAGTTAATTTAACTCAGTCACTCACTCATTCGCTAACTGTCTGACGATTTACAAATCACACACATGTATGGCTCCAACTCTCTTATTTGAACAGATAGAGTTTATGTCATTTATTTATTTTATGTATTACTAATTGATAATACTTTATTTTTTTAATTTTTATTATTATTATTTCGTATCATATAAAGTGGTTCATAAAATTGATTTTTTAAATAAAAATATTGTTGTTAAATTAGTAGGGAAGTATGCTAAATATTAAAATTTAAATATTATATGGATTACTAGTCTATAGCCTAGTAGTATAGTGTAGTCAATAGTGTGAAATATAGTTTAGTCTATAGTCTAGTCTATAGTTTAGTCTATAGTCTAGTCTATAGTCTAGTCTATAGTCTAGTCTATAGTCTAGTCTATAGTCTAGTCTATAGTCTAGTCTATAGTCTAGTCTATAGTCTAGTCTATAGTCTAGTCTATAGTCTAGTCTATAGTCTAGTCTATAGTCTAGTCTATAGTCTAGTCTATAGTCTAGTCTATAGTCTAGTCTATAGTCTAGTCTATAGTCTAGTCTAGTATAGTCTATAGTCTAGTCTATAGTCTAGTCTATAGTCTAGTCTATAGTCTAGTCTATAGTCTAGTCTATAGTCTAGTCTATAGTCTAGTCTATAGTCTAGTCTATAGTCTAGTCTATAGTCTAGTCTATAGTCTAGTCTATAGTCTAGTCTATAGTCTAGTCTATAGTCTCTAGTCTAGTCTATAGTCTAGTCTATAGTCTAGTCTATAGTCTAGTCTATAGTCTAGTCTATAGTCTAGTCTATAGTCTAGTCTATAGTCTAGTCTATAGTCTAGTCTATAGTCTAGTCTATAGTCTAGTCTATAGTCTAGTCTATAGTCTAGTCTATAGTCTAGTCTATAGTCTAGTCTATAGTCTAGTCTATAGTCTAGTCTATAGTCTAGTCTATAGTCTAGTCTATAGTCTAGTCTATAGTCTAGTCTATAGTCTAGTCTATAGTCTAGTCTATAGTCTAGTCATAGTCTAGTCTATAGTCTAGTCTATAGTCTAGTCTATAGTCTAGTCTATAGTCTAGTCTATAGTCTAGTCTATAGTCTAGTCTATAGTCTAGTCTATAGTCTAGTCTATAGTCTAGTCTATAGTCTAGTCTATAGTCTAGTCTATAGTCTAGTCTATAGTCTAGTCTATAGTCTAGTCTATAGTCTAGTCTATAGTCTAGTCTATAGTCTAGTCTATAGTCTAGTCTATAGTCTAGTCTATAGTCTAGTCTATAGTCTAGTCTAGTCTAGTCTATAGTCTAGTCTATAGTCTAGTCTATAGTCTAGTCTATAGTCTAGTCTATCTATAGTCTAGTCTATAGTCTAGTCTATAGTCTAGTCTATAGTCTAGTCTATAGTCTAGTCTATAGTCTAGTCTATAGTCTAGTCTATAGTCTAGTCTATAGTCTAGTCTATAAGTCTAGTCTATAGTTAGTCTATAGTAAGTCTATAGTCTAGTCTATAGTCTAGTCTCATAGTCTAGTCTATAGTCTAGTCTATAGTCTAGTCCTATAGTCCTAGTCTATAGTCTAGTCTATAGTCTAGTCTATAGTCTAGTCTATAGTCTAGTCTATAGTCCTAGTCTATAGTCTAGTCTATAGTCTAGTCTATAGTCTAGTCTATAGTCTAGTCTATAGTCTAGTCTATAGTCTAGTCTATAGTCTAGTCTATAGTCTGAGTCTAGTCTAGTCTATAGTCTAGTCTAAGTGCTAGTCTATAGTCTAGTCTATAGTCTAGTCTATCTATTCCCTAGTCTATAGTCTAGGTCTATAGTCTAGTCTATAGTCTAGTCTATAGTCTAGTCTATAGTCTAGTCTATCTATAGTCTAGTCTATAGTCTAGTCTATAGTCTAGGTCTATAGTCTAGTCTATAGTCTAGTCTATAGTCTAGTCTATAGTCTAGTATAGTCTAGTCTATAGTCTAGTCTATAGTCTAGTCTAGTCTAGTCTATAGTCTAGTCTATAGTCTAGTCTATAGTCTAGTCTATAGTCTAGTCTATAGTCTAGTCTATAGTCTAGTCTATAGTCTATAGTCTAGTCTATAGTCTAGTCTATAGTCTAGTCTATAGTCTAGTCTATAGTCTAGTCTATAGTCTAGTCTATAGTCTAGTCTATAGTCTAGTCTATAGTCTAGTCTATAGTCTAGTCTATAGTCTAGTCTATAGTCTAGTCTATAGTCTAGTCTATAGTCTAGTCTATAGTCTAGTCTATAGTCTAGTCTATAGTCTAGTCTATAGTCTAGTCTATAGTCTAGTCTATAGTCTATAGTCTAGTCTATAGTCTAGTCTATAGTCTAGTCTATAGTCTAGTCTATAGTCTAGTCTATAGTCTAGTCTATAGTCTAGTCTATAGTCTAGTCTATAGTCTAGTCTATAGTCTAGTCTATAGTCTAGTCTATAGTCTAGTCTATAGTCTAGTCTATAGTCTAGTCTATAGTCTAGTCTATAGTCTAGTCTATCTAGTCTATAGTCTAGTCTATAGTCTAGTCTATAGTCTAGTCTATAGTCTAGTCTATAGTCTAGTCTATAGTCTAGTCTATAGTCTAGTCTATAGTCTAGTCTAGTCTCTATATAGTCTATAGTCTAGTCTAGTCTATAGTCTAGTATATAGTCTAGTCTATAGTCTAGTCTATAGTCTAGTCTATAGTCTAGTCTATAGTCTAGTCTATAGTCTAGTCTATAGTCTAGTCTATAGTCTAGTCTATAGTCTAGTCTATAGTCTAGTCTATAGTCTAGTCTATAGTCTAGTCTATAGTCTAGTCCATAGTCTAGTCTATAGTCTAGTCTATAGTCTAGTCTATAGTCTAGTCTATAGTCTAGTCTATAGTCTAGTCTAGTCTATATCTAGTCTATAGTCTAGTCTATAGTCTAGTCTATAGTCTAGTCTATAGTCTAGTCTATAGTCTAGTCTATAGTCTAGTCTATAGTCTAGTCTATAGTCTAGTCTATAGTCTAGTCTATAGTCTAGTCTATAGTCTAGTCTATAGTCTAGTCTATAGTCTAGTCTATAGTCTAGTCTATAGTCTAGTCTATGCCTAGTCTATAGTCTAGTCTAGTCTAGTCTAGTCTATAGTCTAGTCTATAGTCTAGTCTAGTCTAGTCTAGTCTAGTCTAGTCTAGTCTATAGTCTAGTCTATAGTCTAGTCTATAGTCTAGTCTATAGTCTAGTCTATAGTCTAGTCTATAGTCTAGTCTATAGTCTAGTCTATAGTCTAGTCTATAGTCTAGTCTATAGTCTAGTCTATAGTCTAGTCTATAGTCTAGTCTATAGTCTATAGTCTAGTCTATAGTCTAGTCTATATAGTCTATAGTCTAGTCTATAGTCTAGTCTATAGTCTAGTCTATAGTCTAGTCTAGTCTATAGTCTAGTCTATAGTCTAGTCTATAGTCTAGTCTATAGTCTAGTCTATAGTCTAGTCTATAGTCTAGTCTATAGTCTAGTCTATAGTCTACTCTATAGTCTAGTCTATAGTCTAGTCTATAGTCTAGTCTATAGTCTAGTCTATAGTCTAGTCTATAGTCTAGTCTATAGTCTAGTCTATAGTCTAGTCTATAGTCTAGTCTAGTCTAGTCTATAGTCTAGTCTATAGTCTAGTCTATAGTCTAGTCTATAGTCTAGTCTATAGTCTAGTCTATAGTCTAGTCTATAGTCTAGTCTATAGTCTAGTCTATAGTCTAGTCTATAGTCTAGTCTATAGTCTAGTCTATAGTCTAGTCTATAGTCTAGTCTATAGTCTAGTCTATAGTCTATAGTCTAGTCTATAGTCTAGTCTATAGTCTAGTCTATAGTCTAGTCTATAGTCTAGTCTATAGTCTAGTCTATAGTCTAGTCTATAGTCTAGTCTATAGTCTAGTCTAGTCTATAGTCTAGTCTATAGTCTAGTCTATAGTCTAGTCTATAGTCTAGTCTATAGTCTAGTCTATAGTCTAGTCTATAGTCTACTCTATAGTCTAGTCTATAGTCTAGTCTATAGTCTAGTCTATAGTCTAGTCTATAGTCTAGTCTATAGTCTAGTCTATAGTCTAGTCTATAGTCTAGTCTATAGTCTAGTCTATAGTCTAGTCTAGTCTAGTCTATAGTCTAGTCTATAGTCTAGTCTATAGTCTAGTCTATAGTCTAGTCTATAGTCTAGTCTATAGTCTAGTCTATAGTCTAGTCTATAGTCTAGTCTATAGTCTAGTCTATAGTCTAGTCTATAGTCTAGTCTATAGTCTAGTCTATAGTCTAGTCTATAGTCTAGTCTATAGTCTAGTCTATAGTCAAGTCTATAGTCTAGTCTATAGTCTAGTCTATAGTCTAGTCTATAGTCTAGTCTATAGTCTAGTCTATAGTCTAGTCTATAGTCTAGTCTATAGTCTAGTCTATAGTCTATAGTCTAGTCTATAGTCTAGTCTATAGTCTAGTCTATAGTTAGTCTATAGTCTAGTCATAGTCTAGTCTATAGTCTAGTCTATAGTTCTAGTCTAAGTAAGGAAGTAACGTCTACTCTAAAGTGTAATCTAAAAGTAGTCTAAAGTTTATTCTGATCTAATCTAAAGTCTAATCTAACGTCTAGTTTGAAGTGATTTATATTCTAAAGTAAAGTCTAAGGACTTGTTTGAAGTCTATTATAAAGTTTAGTCTAAAGTCTATTCTATAGTCTAAGGTCTAGTTTAAAGTACATTCAAAAGTCTGGTCTAAAGTCTAATCTAAAGTCTAGTCCATGGACTAGTCTATAGTCTAGTCAATAGTATAGTATATAGTCTTGAATTTCTTATCGTTTGATATTATAGAGATTTCAACTCTGTTTCTTAATTTTCAGATTCCAGAATGTGCTGCAAAAGTGGGAGAATGTGATGAAAGTAAGGGACGTCCGGTTTGTGGCACAGATGGTCAAACATATCCCACCCGTTGTCACTTATTAAGGGTACAATGTAGTGGTCATCAAGTAAGCATAGATATCGAGGGCTGTGTAAAGGTAAGTTTGAAAATAACAAAATTTAAACTCTCTTATATGAATATGCTAAAATTTCAAATGGATCTCTACCTCTCACAGCCTGCAATGTAGCACGCGAATATGCTCTCAAGCATCGCACCAAAAATCCCCTTAAATTTATACCACGTTGTAAAAAGGATGGTACTTATGCCCCCATACAGTGTCTCACAAATAGTGGTTGCTGGTGCAGTGATATTACCGGAACACCTATTGATAATACTACAGTACGTACAGTGGGGCGCCTTAAGTGCCGTGAATTTACGAAGGCCTACACCAGACGTTCACCATCACGCAATGCAAGTGGCAATAAGAAAAGATCTTGCAGCCAAGATGATCGTGCCACTTTCAATACAAATCTTATAGGGCTCTTTCATAGTGAATACTTACGGGTGGGATTTCAATTAAATAAGAATCGTAAAACAGATACCTTGGTGCCAACACTGGATGAGACAGAGGTCCTTAATTGGAAATTTAGCGATTTGGATGTGAATAACAATCAAATGTTGGATAAAAATGAATTTCGTGAATTGAAGAAACTTGTCAAGAGGGTAAGTGCCAACAATAAATATTCAATACATGAATTAAAATAAAAACCGATTTACAACTTATTTATTATGCTGGTCTTAGGCTGTGAAACCCAGACGTTGTGGACGTGCTTTTGGCAAATTTTGTGATGTTGACAGTGATGCACGTTATCACGTCTAGAATGGAATAGTTGTCTATCCAAAGATGGTATTAACAGTAAGTTCAACACCTAAATATTTTAGAAATTTTGTTTTTTGTTTTATTAAAAATAAAAATGACCAACAAAACTTAAGAAAAAACAAACTAAATTTGCATGTTTCTCATTAAATAAAATTGGCTTTTTAACTTTTTCAAAATCTCACAAAAACAAAACAAATAAAATCTAACCAGGACATTTAATAAATATGGGTCAGAAACATAATAACACAAAAAAACATCGTAAAAATAATCACCATCTCTTACACACCAACACGGCCTATCGTCATTGGTCCGCCTCTGCCTCCTCCACTAACCAACACCAAAACCACCACAACCAACACTCTATCCAAGACAACAACCATTCACATCTCGATCACAATCAAAATTCGAATCCTAATCCAAATCATTTTAACATACTACATCATAACAATAATAATCATCAAAATCGTTTACGTCCAGATTCTTATGAAAATGAAAGTAATCCAGCCGATGATGAGGATGACGATGATAATAGTAGTCATACAGCGGATTATACAGATGATTATGAGGATGTTGATGATGATCATATGGCGTCAATAAATTCACCTACAAAATTTCCATCTATCAATAGTACGTACTCTGCATGTGAATTAATGTGATAAAATGCATGGCATGTTTTCATGGGGTTGTTTTAATAATTGAAATTTGTTTTTAAAAATTTTGGGAATCTTTTTCTAGTTTTAAGCACCAGCGCTAGCGTCAACACCAAGAGCAAGGATAACGAACCGGATTACGCGGCATGTTTTGCCGATCGTAAAGATGCTCTTACACAAAATGAGGAGAATTTAAAGGTGATTGGAGTTAAAATAATATATTTTAAACTTTTTTAATATTTTTCATTTATCTTCTCATTTGTAGAATGGTAAAAAAGTTGGTCATGTTCCGGTTTGTACACCCGATGGTCGTTTCCAGCGTGTGCAATGTTATAACTCAATATGTTGGTGTGCTGATGAGGAAACTGGTGAAACTTTAAATGGTACTAGCGTTAAAAATCGTGTGCCTCAATGCGGTGCCGTGACACGGGCTATGAAGGGTTGTCCTAATGAGGTTAAAGTAGTTTTTCTAAAAGATCTCAAAGAATTTTTAAAAACCAAAATTATTGCTGGCTCAAATGAGGGGTAAGATTTTATTTCTTTATCTAGTTCAGTTCTAGTTCGGTTCTAGTTCAGTTCTAGTTCAGTTCTAGTTCAGTTCTAGTACAGTTCTAGTTCAGTTCTAGTTCAGTTCTAGTTCAGTTCTAGTTCAGTTCTAGTTCAGTTCTAGTTCAGTTCTAGTTCAGTTCTAGTTCAGTTCTAGTTCAGTTCTAGTTCAGTTCTAGTTCTAGTTCAGTTCTAGTTCAGTTCTAGTTCAGTTCTAGTTCTAGTTCAGTTCTAGTTCAGTTCTAGTTCAGTTCTAGTTCAGTTCTAGTTCAGTTCTAGTTCAGTTCTAATTCAGTTCTAGTTCAGTTCTAATTCAGTTCTAGTTCAGTTCTAGTTCAGTTCTAGTTCAGTTCTAGTTCAGTTCTAGTTCAGTTCTAGTTCAGTTCTAGTTCAGTTCTAGTTCAGTTCTAGTTCAGTTCTAGTTCAGTTCTAGTTCAGTTCTAGTTCAGTTCTAGTTCAGTTCTAGTTCAGTTCTAGTTCAGTTCTAGTTCAGTTCTAGTTCAGTTCTAGTTCAGTTCTAGTTCAGTTCTAGTTCAGTTCTAGTTCAGTTCTAGTCAGTTCTAGTCAGTTCTAGTTCAGTTCTAGTTCAGTTCTAGTTCAGTTCTAGTTCAGTTCTAGTTCAGTTCTAGTTCAGTTCTAGTTCAGTTCTAGTTCAGTTCTAGTTCAGTTCTAGTTCAGTTCTAGTTCAGTTCTAGTTCAGTTCTAGTTCAGTTCTAGTTCAGTTCTAGTTCAGTTCTAGTTCAGTTCTAGTTCAGTTCTAGTTCAGTTCTAGTTCAGTTCTAGTTCAGTTCTAGTTCAGTTCTAGTTCAGTTCTAGTTCAGTTCTAGTTCAGTTCTAGTTCAGTTCTAGTTCAGTTCTAGTTCAGTTCTAGTTCAGTTCTAGTTCAGTTCTAGTTCAGTTCTAGTTCAGTTCTAGTTCAGTTCTAGTTCAGTTCTAGTTCAGTTCTAGTTCAGTTCTAGTTCAGTTCTAGTTCAGTTCTAGTTCAGTTCTAGTTCAGTTCTAGTTCAGTTCTAGTTCAGTTCTAGTTCAGTTCTAGTTCAGTTCTAGGTTAGTTCTAGTTCAGTTCTAGTTCAGTTCTAGTTCAGTTCTAGTTCAGTTCTAGTTCAGTTCTAGTTCAGTTCTAGTTCAGTTCTAGTTCAGTTCTAGTTCAGTTCTAGTTCAGTTCTAGTTTAGTTCTAGTTCAGTTCTAGTTCAGTTCTAGTTCAGTTTTAGTTACCTAATTGTAATATAAATATTTTAATTTTCTTATATAGAACCAATACAACTCAGTGGAAATCAGAAGATGAGCGTATCGCTACCTTAAGTTTTGTGATATTGGATAAGAATAAAAATAAGTCTTGGGAAAGAAAGGAATGGAAAACATTTAGAGAATTAGTAACCAATAATAGGTAAGTAGTTTCAGTCAAGCAAATTTAAATAACTAATTAACATTTAAAAATATATAATTTCAGAACTTTGCGACGATGTGGTCGCAAAATGCCCAGGTATTGTGATGTTAATGGTGATAAAAAGATTACCTTAAGCGAATGGCTAAGTTGTCTACAAACTCATAGAGTAGAACAAAATACACAACCCGATTTTAAACCCCCCATTCATATGTTATCAAGTAAGATTGTTGCAATAAAAAAAGAGAAACAATTTATTTAATGATTTTCCAACCATTACAGATGATACAAGTTTTGCAAAACCACCCAAACTTAATGGAACGAACCCTTTAACAATATATCTAACCTAGAGGCGTAATGAAAAAATCGTTGTAACTTCGAAACGAATACAATTCTGAGAGAATATAATTTTTGAATTAAAAAAAAAACTTTAAATTAAAGGTTTATTTGAAAACTACTTTATACATATTTAAATAATTAGTTTCCTTTTGAAATCTGTTAAACATGTATTTCGATTTAAAATCGTTAGTAGTTCTTTTACGTTTTTCTAAGTTTCTATTTTTTAATTGTTAAAAAGTGCCATGTTGCAAGTTATTTTTATAAAAATATTTTCTTTTTGATTAACATTTTAGTTTTATGTATAGAATAAGTGAGAATATTATTAACTGAGATTATTAAGTTGGAAACTTGATTTAATTTTATTCAGTTTATTTGAATGTGTGTGTGTGTTTTTTGCTCAATTTACTCTTGAAATTGTTTCTTTGTAAATATTTATGCTATTAGTTTATAGTTTTTATATTTATAGTAATTTTTTTTCCTTTTAAAATAAATTTAGATTCTCTTTTTTAAATAAGTTTTTAATTTATATAAATATTTTAAATTAGTTGTGTAAATTATCAATTAAAAATTAAATTTAAAGTGTAAAAAGTGAAAATAAAAGCTAAAAATTTAACTTACCCCAGTGTTTTGTAAGAATAAATTTCAAATTCTATTTTAATTTACTGGTTGTTTTAATTATAAGTTTTGTTAGTTGTTTTTAAATTATAAGTGTTGTGAAACGTTTCCAAACTGAAGAGGTCATGCATTTTTTAACGTTTCGCAGCACTGTTTATAGCTGAATAAATAATGACATGTTATCACAACCTCTGCAGCAGAACAATTTTGTTTTCCTTTAAAATTTCTAATAAAATCTCATTTTACTGACATTTTCTTGTTGTATTTTCTTAATTATTACATATTTTAAATTGTTTTTTAATTATTTTGTTCTTATCACATTATGTTTTGTCGGGAGTAAGCACTACTACTACTACTTGCATACACTGTGATGAGCTTGTTGCTGCAAGCAATATTTTGTTTTAAAACACAACATTATAATTTTAAGTTTTCTTTATATCAGATCTTTTGTACCTCTTTCATATGTATGAATATTTAAAAGTCTCAAATAAATTTGTTATTATTACACTTTTTTCTTTAGTTTTCCACTGAACAAACTTTCTACCAACTAACCGCGCTAAAACATTTTCACAACTAAATTTGATGATGCCAGATTTAATATAACTACAGTGTTGCCAACTAACACAGCTTTTAGTTGCGTTAACCGTTTCTTGGGGAATATTAAAGTGATATGTGTGTATATGAAAATAGGAATTTTCGAAAATATTCTAGTTCTAAACTTGAACTGAATTAGAACCGAACAAGAACTGAACTTGAACTAAACTAGAACTGAACTAGAACTGAACTAGAACTAAACTAGAACTGAACTAGAACTGAACTAGAACTGAACTAGAACTGAACTAGAACTGAACTAGAACTGAACTAGAACTGAACTAGAACTGAACTAGACTGAACTAGAATGAACTAGAACTGAACTAGAACTGAACTAGAACTGAACTAGAACTGAACTAGAACTGAACTAGAACTGAACTAGAACTGAACTAGAACTGAACTAGAACTGAACTAGAACTGAACTAGAACTGAACTAGAACTGAACTAGAACTGAACTAGAACTGAACTAGAACTGAACTAGAACTGAACTAACTAGAACTGAACTAGAACTGAACTAGAACTGAACTAGAACTGAACTAGAACTGAACTAGAACTGAACTAGAACTGAACTAGAACTGAACTAGAACTGAACTAGAACTGAACTAGAACTGAACTAGAACTGAACTAGAACTGAACTAGAACTGAACTAGAACTGAACTAGAACTGAACTAGAACTGAACTAGAACTGAACTAGAACTGAACTAGAACTGAACTAGAACTGAACTAGAACTGAACTAGAACTGAACTAGAACTGAACTAGAACTGAACTAGAACTGAACTAGAACTGAACTAGAACTGAACTAGAACTGAACTAGAACTGAACTAGAACTGAACTAGAACTGAACTAGAACTGAACTAGAACTGAACTAGAACTGAACTAGAACTGAACTAGAACTGAACTAGAACTAAACTAGAACTGAACTAGAACTGAACTAGAACTGAACTAGAACTGAACTAGAACTGAACTAGAACTGAACTAGAACTGAACTAGAACTGAATTAGAACTGAACTAGAACTGAACTAGAACTGAATCAGAACTGATCTAGACACTGAACTAGAACTGAACTAGAACTGAACTAGAACTGAACGAGAACTGAACTAGAACTGAACTAGAACTGAACTAGAACGGAACTAGAACTGAACTAGAACTGAAACTAGAACTGAACTAGAACTGAACTAGAACTGAACTAGAACTGAACTAGACTGACTAGAACGAACTAGAACTGAACATAGACTGACTAGAACTGAACTAGACTGACTAGAACTGAACTAGAACTGAACTAAACTGAACTAGAACTGAACTAGAACTGAACTGAACTGACTAGAACTGAACTAGAACTGAACTAGAACTGAACTAGAACTGAACTAGAACTGAACTAGAACTGAACTAGAACTGAACTAGAACTAGAACTAAAACTGAACTAGAACTGAACTAGAACTGAACTAGAACTTGAACTAGAACCGAACTAGAACTAGAATTGAACTAGAACTGAACAAGAACTGAACTAGAACTGAACTAGAACTGAACAGAACTGAACTAGAACTAGAACTTGAACTAGAACTGAACTCGAACTTGAACTAGAACTGAACTAGAACTGAACTAGAACTTGAACTATAACTGAACTATAACTGAACTAGAATTGAACTAGAACTGAACTAGAATTGAACTAGAACTGAACTAGAACTGAACTAGAACTGAACTAGAACTGAACTAGAACTGAACTAGAACTGAAATAGAACTGAACTAGAACTGAACTAGAACTGAACTAGAACTAAACTAGAACTGAACTAGAACTGAACTAGAACTAAACTAGAACTGAACTAGAACTGAACTAGAACTGAACTAGAACTGAACTAGAACTGAACTAGAACTGAACTAGAACTGAACTAGAACTGAACTAGAACTGAACTAGAAATGAACTATAACTGAACTAGAATTGAACTAGAATTGAACTAGAATTGAACTAGAACTGAACTAGAATTGAACTAGAACTGAACTAGAAATGAACTAGAACTGAACTTGAACTGAACTCGAACTAGAACTGAACTAGAACTGAACTAGAACTGAACTAGAACTGAACTAGAAATGAACTAGAACTGAACTAGAACTGAACTCGAACTTGAACTGAACTGAACTAGAAATGAACTAGAACTGAACTAGAAATGAACTAGAACTGAACTAGAACTGAACTAGAACTGAACTCGAACTTGAACTAGAACTGAACTAGAACTGAACTCGAACTGAACTATAACTGAACTAGAACTGTACTAGAACTTGAACTAGAACTGAACTAGAACTAGAACTAGAACTGAACTAGAACTGAACTAGAACTGAACAAGAACTGAACTAGAACTAGAACTGAACTAGAACTGAACTAGAACTGAACTAGAACTGAACTAGAACTGAACTGAACTAGAAATGAACTAGAAATGAACTAGAACTGAACTCGAACTTGAACTAGAACTGAACTAGAACTTGAACTAGAACTGAACTAGAACTGAACTAGAACTGGACTAAATTGAACTATTATTATTTTTTAGTTAGTTTTAAGCTTTTAGATAGTAAAACAAATTAGAAAGTTTTAGTTTTTAATTTTATTTAACAAAATTGTAGATACAACAAAATTAGTTTTAGATTTAATACAAAAAGTTATAAGTAAAAAAATATATATTTTAATATATATAAATTTATTTAAGTTTTAGAAAATTTTCCTCAAAACCCGACGAGACCTTTATTTTCAATAAAAATTTCGCTAAATTAACAAATAATACTAAAACCAGTGTTGTCACTTGCATAATAACAAAATGTGATATGGAGGTACCGATTTCTAGCCAAGAGCCCTGATTTTTAACTAAAAATAAAAAGTTTAAACCCATAATATCGCAAACGATTAAAAGGCAAATAAATATTTGACGTTCGTATTGCAAAGCCAAGGGAGTTAAGGCAAAGATAATGGAAATAATAAGTAAAATTGGTATAATCAATTTCAGAATAACCAAAAACATAATGATAAAGGGAGAAAAAGTGGCTAGAAAACAACGTATTATATTGGGATCAAAAGAGCTTACAGAGGCAATATTACCGGAGCCAAAGAAAGAGAAAAAGGTGTAGAGTAGAATAATAAAAGCCAAGCGAAAGCAATGGGAAATGTGTAAAGTACTGGTTATGGGGGATAAGGGGGTATTGAAATTGTTATGTGATAAAGAACAGTCTAGAGATAAAATTAACTCGGATATTAAGAGTAAAATAAACAAGGATTCATAGGAAGTGCAAAATAAACAATACAGACTAGTTAAAAGAAAAATAAATTTCTCTAAACGTTGTTTAAGTGTTAGAGAATAGGGTTTGACTAGAGATATAAAAACATATAAAAGATAAAGCCAAGATATTATATGCGATATAACGCTAACTCCCAATTGTTGAGAGTGCATATAAACACAGATAGCGTTATTTACTAAAGCTATAAATACTATTAATTTATCTAAAATTGAAATGGAATTTTTGACTAAAAATGGTCTTAACAGAGTGACCAAGATGCCAGCATATAATAAAACATTATTGGAATAACCCACCGAGATGGGCAGTAAGGGAAATATACATAAAATCAGGGATAAAATAAAACTTATATAAAATTTCAGTTTTTGTTTAAAGAACTGCCAGGAAATTTTATCTTGCAGAGCAAATACTAGGAAACCCAAAGAAATAGCTCTTCTATCGAAAAAGGTATAAACCAAAAGTTCAGCACATAGTAACAGTAGAAGTAAATGGAATTTAGTTAAACCCAATTTGTTATCAAATAATAATATAGGACAACGTTTTGTTATAAATAAGCTGGCCACCACAAAAGGCAGCATAAGATAAAAGGTTATACTCCAGCTTAACTTTTGCAGTAAACAAAATATAAAAGTTATTAAGGCTAGAAACGATAAAAGAAAGACTTTGAATTTGAAAGCAAAATTACTTTTCTTAGACTGCCTAGTAACAGCAGTATTAACGTGTCCCAATAATTTAAGTAAATAACCCAACCAGACAATAAAAGTGGCAGTAGTTGCCGCCAATAATAACTCACGATAGTAACTGAAATAATAATCTATACCTTTCAGGGATGAATACATCAATTTGTAACTATTATAAATAGCTAGTTTTTCTGTTTCATAGGAATTTTGTGTCACTAAATATTCCTCAAAATCTATATCCATTTTAAATTGGGGTAGAAATTTGTTGAATAAACCTTTTTCATGTTCCTGCAGGAGAGATTTATATTGATTGTACAACTGATGAGCATTGCTTTGTGTGGCATGTAATAGATAAAGTTCTGAGGCATTAATGATGTCTTTAGGTAAAACGCCAAAGTTATTCATGGGTGTAGCTATACCCAGAAGAGCTGACATTATGGGCGCCATTTCAGCCTGCTCTAGTTCATATAATGTTGAAGAATTTCTTTTTGAATTGTAGGGTTTGTGTTTGACTCCAGCGCCCCAGATAAAAAATGGAGTTTCGGTTTCGTAGTTAGCACCAGCGCCGTGAGAACCTGGAGTAAAAGTACAAATTAATTAATAAAAATAACACAACATTTCAAAAACAGTTTACTTGAAAAGTTTTTTAAAGTTTATAAAGAAAAATGGTAGAAAGTCAGTTATAAAATGAATTACAACAAAAATAACATCACCCCTTACTCACCTGCATCCGTCATACCATGATCCGAGGTCAAAACATAAGCTGTTTTACCATCGGGAAATGTTCTCTCAAACAGCTCATACATTTCCTTTATACCTCTGTCAGTATAATGTAAATTTTCCAAAAATAACTTTGTATTAGGTTTATAAACATGCCCCGCTGTATCTAAACCCAATAGATGTAGGAAATATATAACTTGACGTTCTGGCTGCAACTCCGCCTTTTTACGTTGTAAAAACTTTTCCACTTTATCGAAAACCCATTTATCCAATTCATAAGTTTTCTCTTTACCCGAAAAATCCAATTCATGATTATAAGAATCAAAGAATAAACGTTTTTCATCTTCTCTAGAAAGACGCGAAAAGATGTGTAAAACATCATTGGCTCCCCAGGCATAAGTTTTGGAACTTCTATTAAAGACAGTATCAAATTCAATAGGATTCTCTTTCCAGCCTCTAGTAACTGCCGAAGGATCCTCATATAGTCCGGCTATAAGGGCGATATGTCCAGGTCTTGATTCGGTGGGCACCCGGGTTTTGGAAATGCCATAAATACCCTTTTGGTTATCGATTAGATGTTTAATGTGTGGCACATTTTTAAAATTGTCATGATAAAAAGACTCTGCTCTTAAACCGTCCGTAACAATTAACACCAAACGTTTTGCTGGAGCCTCTAAAGGAATATTTTTATAGGGCTGGAGATTGGTAATGACCGGCGAACGAAAATATATAACAAATATAGAGCCCAATAGCAGAATGTGTATGATTATAGAGTAAATAATCCACATAGCTAATACATATTATATGAAAGCACTCGTTTTTAATACAATTTTATAAAAATATATGTGATTATTGTAAAAAAATTTAATATTTGACGATTTGTTTTCTTTTATCTAATGATTTGTTGTTGTTTTTATCTCTATACCAACAGCTGTTTGACAAAATGTCAAAAAGACAAGAAAATTACTGACTAGTGTTGTAAAGTGTTTTTATTATTAGTAATTGATATAAACGGTTTTTATTAGAGGATATAAAAAGGATTTTTGTTAAGATTTCTTAAAGAAAATACATGAAAAATACTTTTATAATAAAAAGAAAATATAAAAATTTAAATTAAAATGTCATTTTAATATAACAGCAACAATTTTTTTAAATAATAACGTTTTTCTTATATTTTCATTTCGTTTTATATCTTAACAACACTGATAGTTTGACAACATCACAGTGTTGTAAAGTATATGGTAAAACTTAATGACATTTAACTGAAGTTTATTTTCTTAATACGCGCGTAAACGGTTGTCTTTCGGGTTTGCTCCGGGAAAATGTTAAAAATAAAAGGTTTTAGCTATAATACTCAAGTGAAAAGTGTTAGAATCGATAAAATAATACTGTGGTTATAGTATTCGTATAAAAGTTTGTCACGGTCTATGAAATTAAGAAAGTTTTTAGTGTTTTAATATTTGTGCTACCTCTTGGCGGAAGAAAATGTACGAGAAAAAAAGCTAAAAAAAAAGGTAGCCATAGAGTTCGCAAAAGTTTCGGGTGTTAAAAGGTTGCCATATTGTTCGAAAATGTTACGGGTGTTAAAAGGTTGCCATATGTTTATAAAATTTTAATATTTTTTGTATGGCAACATTAAATCTTTTTTGAAGTTTATAGTGTTGTTAAGTTCCGCCGTAATAATGTTATTCAGTTCCGCCGGAATATAAATTAAGGCATTTCCGTATATTTGGCATTTCCGTTCTGTGTCTTATGGTTATTAGTTAAGGAAAAGCTTTTAAAATTAAATAAATGAAGTTAAATTATTAAAAATAAATAAAAAAATTAAGTTAAAATAAATAAAAGAAATATATAAATTCCTTTTAAATTATTTTTTAAAATTTTTAATAAAGGTAAAAAGTAATAATAATAAAAAATATTATCGATATTTTTTTAATAACAAGATAAAAATTTAATTATGAAATAAATAAAAATTATAAAATATATTGAAAATCAAAATATTTCTCAAAAATCTCGAAGAAAATAATAAAAAAAATAAATAAATAAAAGTGAAAGCTAAAAAAAATTTTTAAAAAAATAAATAAAATAATTTAATAAAATAAAACATTTAAATAAATAAGTAGTGGTAAGTTTAAAATGTTTTATATTTTTAAAAATTTTATTATAATTGTTCGAAAATATAAACACTTTACTTATAGTCTATAGTCGAGTCTATAGTCTAGTCTATAGGCTAGTCTATAGTCTAGTCTATAGTCTAGTCTATAGGCTAGTCTATAGTCTAGTCTTTAGCCTAGTCTATAGTCTAGTCTATAGTCTAGTCTTTAGTCTAGTCTATAGTCTAGTCTATAGTCTAGTCTATAGTCTAGTCTATAGTCTCATAGTTAGTATAGTCTAGTCTATAGTCTAGTCTATAGTCTAGTCTATAGTCTAGTCTAGTCTAGTCATAGTCTATAGTTAGTCTATAGTCTAGTCTATAGTCTAGTCTATAGTCTAGTCTATAGTCTAGTCTATAGTCTAGTCTATAGTCTAGTCTATAGTCTAGTCTATAGTCTAGTCTATAGTCTAGTCTATAGTCTAGTCTATAGTCTAGTCTATAGTCTAGTCTATAGTCTAGTCTATAGTCTAGTCTATAGTCTAGTCTATAGTCTAGTCTATAGTCTAGTCTATAGTCTAGTCTATAGTCTAGTCTATAGTCTAGTCTATAGTCTAGTCTATAGTCTAGTCATAGTCTAGTCTATAGTCTAGTCTATAGTCTAGTCTATAGTCTAGTCTATAGTCTAGTCTATAGTCTAGTCTATAGTCTAGTCTATAGTCTAGTCTATAGTCTAGTCTATAGTCTAGTCTATAGTCTAGTCTATAGTCTTAGTTCTATAGTCTAGTCTAGTATAGTCTAGTCTAGTTAGTATATAGTCTAGCTATCGTCTAGTATAGTCTAGTCTATAGTCTAGTCTATAGTCTAGTCTATAGTCTAAGTCTATTAGTCTAGTCTATAGTCTAGTCTATAGTCTAGTCTATAGTCTAGTCTATAGTCTAGTCTATAGTCTAGTCTATAGTCTAGTCTATAGTCTAGTCTATAGTCTAGTCTATAGTCTAGTCTATAGTCTAGTCTATAGTCTAGTCTATAGTCTAGTCTATAGTCTAGTCTATTAGTCTAGTCTATAGTCTAGTCTATAGTCTAGTCTATAGTCTAGTCTATAGTCTAGTCTATAGTCTAGTCTATAGTCTAGTTCTATAGTCTAGTATATAGTCTAGTCTATAGTCTAGTCTATAGTCTAGTCTATAGTCTAGTCTATAGTCTAGTCTATAGTCTAGTCTATAGTCAGTCTATAGTCTAGTCTATAGTCTAGTCTATAGTCTAGTCTATAGTCTAGTCTATAGTCTAGTCTATAGTCTAGTCTATAGTCTAGTCTATAGTCTAGTCTATAGTCTAGTCTATAGTCTAGTCTATAGTCTAGTCTATAGTCTAGTCTATAGTCTAGTCTATAGTCTAGTCTATAGTCTAGTCTATAGTCTAGTCTATAGTCTAGTCTATAGTCTAGTCTATAGTCTAGTCTATAGTCTAGTCTATAGTCTAGTCTATAGTCTAGTCTATAGTCTAGTCTAGTCTAGTCTATAGTCTAGTCTATAGTCTAGTCTATAGTCTAGTCTATAGTCTAGTCTATAGTCTAGTCTATAGTCTAGTCTATAGTCTAGTCTATAGTCTAGTCTATAGTTTAGTCTATAGTCTAGTCTATAGTCTAGTCTATAGTCTAGTCTATAGTCTAATCTATAGTCTAGTCTATTGTCTAATCTATAGTCTAGTCTATAGTCTAGTCTTTTGTCTAATCTATAGTCTAGTCTATAGTCTTGTCTATAGTCTATTCTATAGTCTTGTCTATAGTCTAGTCTATAGTCTTTTCTATAGTCTAGTCTATAGTCTTGTCTATAGTCTAGTCTACAGTCTAGTCTATGACATGTACTGTAGTCTAGTCTTTAGTTTGGACTGTACTCTAGCCTATATTCTGAACTATAACCTGGACTATAGTATTGTCTATAGTCTGGGTTACATTCTAGTCTTTAGTCTGGACTATAATCTGTGGGTTAAAATTTAGTCTATAGTCTAGAGCCTGGACTATATAGTTTAGTGTAGGGTCTATGCAATAGACTAGTCTATAGTAAAGAACTATAGTACTTATAGTTTATTCTCCGTACTATTCCGGAGTGTGGGTAATAGTGTGGCCTAAATTCTGGACTATAAATATTCTAGTCTATACTCTGGACTTAACTTTTTTTTATAGTCGGAATTTTAACCTTTTTTATAAACTGGATTATTGTCCCGTCTCTAGTCTAGTCTATGATACAGTTGCCCTGTATAATTTTGTGGAGGATAAGAAAACATTTATTTCAAATAATTTTATAGAATTGTTTATTCAAATCTAAAGTTGTCGGTGAGCTTTAGGTGTCTAGTATTTAACGAGTGCCTTAACCAAAGAAAGTACAATTTAAATTAAAAACTACATAAGGAATTGAGTAGGTAATCTTTTAGGTTTCTTCGGGTGTTGAAAGAAAAATTTAACGGCAGTGCTTTTTTTTCACTACGATAATATGTAAATAAATAATTTCTGATCTCTATAATTAATTTTTCAATAAACTCTCCTTAAGCCTGTCTATAGCGGTGGAAGAATTTTTCGACTTTTCCTCTACCACACCATTCTCTTCAGCTTCTTTTAGGGCTTTAGCCTCTTCTAGTTCGCGCTGCTTTTGCAATTGGCGAAATTCTGTGGGTGTCAACATACCGCGCAGTATGGTGTCATAGGTTATATTAACTCCTTTCGTGGACATTTTCATATACAATTTCCAACATTCACGTTCTTTGAGACTGCGTACATATTCAGGGAATTCATATTCCTCTTCCAGGGGCTTATCGTTTAAAGTAGGGCTTACATTGGGTTTTAAACTTTCCATATTATTTTCCTTTTCCTCTGTTGACTTACTATTATGGGCAGGCATTTCGTTATTTAGTTTCGAATTATTATTATGAAATATTGATCCGGGAGGGGCTGTGGGTGGTCTATTCGATTTGATGCGTTGAGCTAACGGGGCTATAGAACCCCTTCTCAACATATGAGAATATTCTTTGGAGGCAAATTGAAAGGTGGGCGGATAATTCTCTTGAAAAGATACTGTTTAAAAGGAATTTAGTTTTTTTTTTATAAATTTCCGGTTATATATGTATTAAAACTCACCCGATTTGCCAGTTTTCCTTAAGGAAGGGGGCCTTCTAGTGGGACTACCTTTATGCGAATTTGTGGGTGTTATAGAAGATTCCTCTTTTTCCGAGTCCGAACCCTCTGAACTTATGAGTGAGACCAAAGTTATAACATCGGGTGCCACCGATTTGGAACGTGTTAAAACTTTTCTATTTATTGAAGGTTTTCCTTCAAAATTTAAATCTTTTGCACTTAAAACATCCGTTGAACCCTTATCACAGCTTATATTGCGTGAATTTAATTTTCTTCTACGAGACTTTCGTTTAGAGGCCAAAAATGTTGCTGAACTTTTTGCCGTTGTTTCGTCAAAACTACGTACTGGCGCCGACATAGCACGCACCAGGGGAGGTCGCCTTTGTACGGTCAGTGAGGGTGATGCGTTAAAGTTTTGAGGATTTTGTAGACCACTAGTTAGAGTGGTTGTTGTTGTCCCTGTTGTACTGTTGTTGTTGTTGCTATGGCTGCTTAAAGCTAAATTTGTTACTAATCTACTGGAGTGATAGACTGCTCGGCGTTGTTGAGCCGGTAAATAGGGACGTGTGTTGCCAGAGTTTTCAAATTTCTTATTGTCTTTCGTTTGGGAATCCTAGAATGTCGGGAGAAGAGTTTTAAATATTTGTTATAATATTTTTAAAGAGTATATTGAAAAACTTGCTATATTTTTGTTAGAATCACTTAATGTTTCATCACTGTCTGTTTCGTCATTATCCTCATCCGCTTCTAGATCACTGTATATACAGCCGTTCTCCTCTTTCGTAGAATTCAGAGCATGTGATAGAACTATGCTTAAGTTAACTTTATTTACTTCAGGTTTGTTGGATCTTTTATTGGAATGGGAATTGTGTGAGTTGTTGGTTATTGCAGTTTCCGTTTTTGCGTTGTTGTTTCTGGGAGGTTTAAGAAAAAGTAAAAAAGTTGAGTAAAAAGATTTAGAAGATAGATAATAAACTCGACGATAGTCTAGTCAATACATTAAGCCATAGGATGGCTCGTGGTCAAGTCCACAGGATAGTATAAGGACTAATCCGTAGACTAATCTATAAACTATTCTATAGACTAGTCAACAGTCAAGTCAAGATTTGCAATGTTAAAACATCTAAAAGTCAATTACAGATTAATATCTGGTTTCATTATTTTAGACCTAATTTATGTGGTTTTTGAAGAATAATAATATTCAGGAACTATTATTTTAAGACTCCAAATACACGAGTTGCATTTGTTTCTTTTTTTTTTTTTTTTCTTTTCAAAATGCATATTTCACATGTCACTTTGTGTCATGTCAGGCACTGTGTGTTGTCTTAATTTTTGTTTTTTTTTTGTGCAATATTTCGTTGGCAATTGTCTAACAATAGCAAATAACCTAATAAAGTACTTGTCCTTATTGTTGTTAATATAAGTACTTTTGCTTTTGTTGAAATACCCTACCTTAGGTCATAGATTAATTACAAAAAAAGAAAGAAAAATTACTAAAACCAACATTGTTATATATAAATATTTCTATTGAAATGAATGAAAATATAAAAACAATATCTCTTGAATTTGTCCAATAGAGTAACCAAAAGTCGACTCTGCTCTATAGACTGTAAGATTGCGTGGTTGTTTATAAAACCGATTTGTATAGAAATTGAAAAGAAAAAAACCTAATTCATAATATTTTACTTGTTTTCTTCTTCAATCGCGTATACGAAACTTAAGTATGATGTATGTGTATGGAGTCAACTCCAAATATATTTTAGAGTTTATCAAAATAATAAAAAAGTAACTAAAAAATGAATATAAAAGAAAACTATGTCAATTTGATTGGTTTTTACACACAAATATACAAACACTCATGTTGGTATAAGTTCCTAAATAGATTTCGTTTTTTTTTTTCTTCATATTTCTGACATATTGCCGATATTATTGACAACTGGTTCAATAACCGTTTTTCGGTTTTCAAATCCCTGACATATAAACATGCTAAATATTTATTTAATAAATAACGAATGTGTGTGAAATGGATAATGTTGTAGATTGATAGATAGATAGATAGATAGATAGATAGATAGATAGATAGATAGATAGATAGATAGATAGATAGATAGATAGATTATAGATAGATAGATAGATAGATAGATAGATAGATAGATAGATAGATAGATAGATAGATAGATAGATAGATAGATAGATAGATAGATAGATAGATAGATAGAGATAGATAGATAGATAGGTAGATAGATAGATAGATAGATAGAGATAGATAGATAGATAGATAGATAGATAGATAGATAGATGAGTAGATAGATAGATAGATAGATAGATAGATAGATAGGATAGATAGATAGATAGATAGATAGATAGATAGATAGATAGATAGATAGATATATAGATAGATAGATAGATAGATAGATAGATAGATAGATAGATAGATAGATAGATAGATAGATAGATAGATAGCTAGATAGATAGATAGATAGATAGATAGATAGATAGATAGATAGATAGATAAGATAGCTAGATAGATAGATAGATAGATAGATAGATAGATAGATAGATAGATAGATAGATGATAGATAGATAGATAGATAGATAGATGATAGGATAGATAGATAGAATGATAGACTAGATGATATGATAGATAGATAGATTAGATGATAGCTAGATAGATAGATAGATAGAAGATAGATAGATAAGAAGATAGATAGATAGATAGATAGATAGATAGATAGATAGATAGATAGATAGATAGATAGATAGATAGATAGATAGATAGATAGATAGATAGATAGATAGATAGATAGATAGATAGATAGATAGATAGATAGATAGATAGATAGATAGATAGATAGATAGATAGATAGATATATAGATAGATAGATAGATAGATAGATAGATAGATAGATAGATAGATAGATAGATAGATAGATAGATAGATAGATAGATAGATAGATAGATAGATAGATAGATAGATAGATAGATAGATAGATAGATAGATAGATAGATAGATAGATAGATAGATAGATAGATAGATAGATAGATAGCTAGATAGATAGATAGATAGATAGATAGATAGATAGATAGATAGATAGATAGATAGATAGATAGATAGATAGATAGATAGATAGATAGATAGATAGATAGATAGATAGATAGATAGATAGATAGATAGATAGAAGATAGATAGATAGATAGATAGATAGATAGATAGATAGATAGATAGATAGATAGATAGATAGATAGATAGATGATAGATAGATAGATAGATAGATAGATAGATAGATAGATAGATAGATAGATAGATAAATAGATATTTTCCAAAATTTCTGAAAGTTTCGTTTTACATATGTAGAAATCTGTTACAAAACCCACCTCTTTATACCCTACACCATTATAGGGGAGGATATTATGGGTTTGTGCTCATGTATGTATTATTGGTTCTATAGATAGATAGATAGATAGATAGATAGATAGATAGATAGATAGATAGATAGATAGATAGATAGGAGATAGATAGATAGATAGATAGATAGATAGATAGATAGATAGATAGAAGATAGATAGATAGATAGATAGATAGATAGATAGATAGATAGATAGATAGATAGATAGATAGATAGATAGATAGATAGATAGATAGATGATAGATAGATAGATAGATAGATAGATAGAGATAGATAGATAGATAGATAGATAGATAGATAGATAGATAGAGTAGATAGATAGATAGATAGATAGATAGATAGATAGATAGATAGATAGATAGATAGATAGATAGATAGATAGCTAGATAGATAGATAGATAGATAGATAGATAGATATTAGATAGATATTATGGGTTTGTGCTCATGTATGTATTTATTGGTTCTATAGTCGACTCTGCTCTATAGAGTGTAAGATTGCGTGGTTGTTTATAAAACCGATTTGTATAGAAATTGAAAAGAAAAAAAACCTAATTCATAATATTTTACTTGTTTTCTTCTTCAATCGCGTATACGAAACTTAAGTATGATGTATGTGTATGGAGTCAACTCCAAATATATTTAGAGTTTATCAAAATAATAAAAAAGTAACTAAAAATGAATATAAAAGAAAACTATGTCAATTTGATTGGTTTTTACACACAAATATACAAACACTCATGTTGGTATAAGTTCCTAAATAGATTTCGTTTTTTTTTTTCTTCATATTTCTGACATATTGCCGATATTATTGACAACTGGTTCAATAACCGTTTTTTCGGTTTTTCAAATCCCTGACATATAAACATGCTAAATATTTATTTTTAATAAATAACGAATGTTGTGAAATGGATAATGTTGTAGATTGATAGATAGATAGATAGATAGATAGATAGATAGATAGATAGATAGATAGATAGATAGATAGATAGATAGATAGATAGATAGATAGATAGATAGATAGATAGATAGATAGATAGATAGATAGATAGATAGATAGATAGATAGATAGATAGATAGATAGATAGATAGATAGATAGATAGATAGATAGATAGATAGATAGATAGATAGATAGATAGATAGATAGATAGATAGATAGATAGATAGATAGATAGATAGATAGATAGATAGATAGATAGATAGATAGATGAAATAATTGGAAAAACATCAAATAATATCGATGTTTCTATTACGCAAAACTTTAAAGACGAAAGTATTGAGAATATCGTAAATAAATTTGCTACTAATTTTAATACAAATGTTAAAAAAATAATACATAACTGCCACATCAAAACACTAAATAACATAGAAAATACACTGCAACACTCTATTTATGTCGAAAATACCAATGAAAATGAAATATATAATATACTAAATTCATTAAATATCAGAAAAGGACCTGGAATAGATGGAATTAGACCGAAAGATTTAAAAAATAATGCCAGAACTTTAACTCCGATAATAACCAAATTAGCAAACACAAGTTTAGATAGTGGTCAAATACCTACTGGAATCAAAACATCAATAATAAGGCCCATATACAAGAGTGGCACTAAATCAGACTATAACAATTATAGACCAGTTTCAATCTTGCCAGTAATAGAAAAAGTATTAGAGGAAATAGTGGTAAGAAGACTAAATAACTTCTTAGAAAAATATAAAATAATAAATAAAAATCAATTTGGCTTCCAAAAAGGAAGAAGTATAAATAATCTTCTAGGAAACTTTTCTAATTACATTAATAACTGTCTAAGTAAAAAAATGCATTGTCTTGTGTTGTTCATTGACTTTAGCAAAGCCTTTGACACTTTGTCACATCTTAGACTTCTTCAAATAATGGAAAGGAATGGCATAAGAGGCAAAACTTTAAATTGGTTTAAGAACTATCTAGAATGCAGAAAATATCGTGTAAAGATCAACAATTCTTTAAGCGATGAAGTAGTAACGGATTTTGGTGTACCACAGGGATCCAAACTTGGGCCAATCCTTTATATAATGTATGCCAACGATATGATCAACACTCTGCAAGGAAACACAACATATGCATATGCAGATGATACTGCTATTGTGGTATCTAATGAAAATATTAACGATGCTATGAAAATAATGCAATCGCAACTAAATATTGCAACAAGATGGTGTCACGATAACGGTTTAATCATAAACGCACAAAAAACAAAAATTATGCATATTAAGCCGCGACATTTTATAGATACCGATATCAAAATCAAGTTCCATGATATGAATTGCCTTCACAACATAAATAACATTAATGATACATGCACCACCTATATTGAACTTGTGACAACATACAAATACCTAGGTGTTTATGTAGATAACAACTTTAAATGGAACACACATGTTGATTATCTCCAAAAGAAACTGCGCAAGTCAGCTTTTATGCTTTACCATTTAAGTAATTGTGCAACGTATAATGTTTTACGACAAG